TAAAGTGCCAAATCGGTAAGACTGTTGGCACACAGTAAATGAGGAGTATATTGCAGCTATGACTGCAATTATTATATTATTATCATCATTAGAGAATTGGCATTAAGAATACAGCTGGACCACCCAAAATAAAAAAAATTACTGTTCCTTTTAATAGTTATTATTGTCCATCTATGCGTTTTGAGTGGCCGTATATATGTGAAAATAGTATTTGCTAAAAACAAAGCCACTGCCACATAATCTATGTCATGAGAAAATATCCTAAGAAGAAAGATTCCCCTGAACTGAAATGAGATTAAGTTAACAGACTAAAGTTGATGCTAGTCTTTCCTAGGGAAGTAGGAAAAGAGTAAGACAAGTATATTGAAGTCTTTTGTGAAAATAGGATCATGTACATTAGTGACCACAAACACCTGATTTTCTTCTCTGTGGAGCAGACATAAAACTGAATCTAGGTGACAGAGCAAGCCTGGATTTACCAGTCTTGGTAATGAACTGGAGATTAAGGAGGAAAAAGAATGAAAAGAGTATGACAAGAGCTAAGGAAAGTCAACCTTTGATTTTCATTCATTCATTCATTCATTCACTTGGTGATTCATTATGAGCTGGGTATTGAATCAGCTGCTGTGCATACAAAGAATAAGACGTGGGAGGCAGTCAGATAAGCAGTAAGACATCCACTATATGAGAACAGCAGGTTCAAGTGAAGGGGGCAGTAGGACCCAGGGAAGGGTGATTGACTTGGACGTGAGAGGTGAAGGAATCAACTGTTCATCAGGTTTTGTGACCTTACCTCTCAAAAAGGCCACCCTTTAAGAATTATTTTCAAGGTAACAATTATACCTCAATAAAGCCGTTTAAAAAAGTTATTTTCATTTTGTAACTTCCTGCCACGTTATTTTTCTTTTGTACTTACAATTTTCAAAAAAAATAGTAACAGTAAAAGTCCTTAGAATACTTCGAAGAGATCCCTTCCCCCCCACCCCACCCCCGAGATGTGAATGAGAGGTGAGCCAATTTGTCAGTGGATTCTGCAGGCGGGAACCCCAGGTCGAAGGCTCCCAGAAGCCAATAAGGGAAGGAGGCAGCCAGTTCCTGAAGTGCAGAGAAGGAATGAGACAGGAGGAGACCAGCTCAATTCTCTGGCTATTTGCTAAATGGAGGGTAAATGGAGGCAGTCTGGCTTCCTCACCCAGGTGTCTGGGTAACTAAGGGAAGCAGTGTTCCCATAACCTTGAATGGGCCTGATACGTAGTGTTCTCATAGCTTTGAGACTGGGTCCAGTGAACTGTTCCCATATCATGAAGTGGGCTCGCATGTGCATTATTATGCTATGTTATATAATTTTCTGGCTTGAAGCTGGCTTTGTTTGCCTCCAGTACTTAAGCAGGTAGGGGCTCCCTGCTGGGTGCTATGACATGTGTCATGCTGGAGAGCAAGGGCCACACTGTGTGCCATGCAGAGGGGACAGGTGACACACAGAGGCTTGCAGAGACATGCCGGGAGATGCGCAGCTTGCAGCACACGTGGCTCGCCCACCCGTGAAGAAAGGCAGCTCAAGCATGCCCACAGCTCTGCTCATTTTCTTCCATCTCCCTGAATCTCGAGTAGGCCTACCAGGCCTTGACAGGCTGCCACACAGTAATATTTTCCTTTCCTCTCGGCCCCTGCTCACCTCTTCTAACACTTATTTTCCCATCCTTCCTAGTACACCCCTGCATTTCCGTGGAGACCAGAGAGACATTAACTTCTATGTGTAGAAAGCGTGTGCTTAGAAGTTGGTTTTAAAAGTTGGTTGGTAATGTCACTAGATGACCGCCTCCTAGAGATACAGCCATTTTTTAGAAGGAAAGTCAGGAACAACCAAAATCTTTTAGACTTGAGAGGCTGCAGAGACTACCTAGTAAGTGACAGAATGGCAAACATGGACATAGGTCACTGGCGTCAAATACTAGGTCCTAGCATTCTAGTCATCAGCCTGTGTACACAGCTATGTATTAATGCTGTATCTCCTAAGAGGCTTCCTTGGCCAGAGAACAGGGAACCCTTGGAACCAGGAGGCTGTTTGTGGTCTGTGCTAAGTGTGCTTATTTACAAACTGAAGTCCAGGTGTTTTTTGGGGGGAGAAAAAAGGGAAATACTACTCTTGGAGAACTGTGATTATGGGAAGGCAAGTCTGGTTTCCAGGGATACACTCAAGTGAAGTGGGTTTTGATCTTGATTTCAGGGCACTTTTTGGCAGAGTCCAACTAGTTGGGTTTGGTTAATTTTAAGGTACTGCCAAAATAATAACCACATTTCCTTGACTGCAAGTTCTTATTCTTCATAAATTTAAATTGCTGTAAGGTCCTTCCTTTTCAATGACTTTTTCTTTTCTTTTGTTTTATTGATTCTAGAGAGTGGGGAAGAGAAAGAGAAGGAGAGGGAGAGAAATATCGATGCAAGACAGAAACATCAATTAGTTGCCTCCTGCACGTGCCCCCACAGGGATCAAGCCCGAAACCCAGGCATGTGCCCTGACTGGGAACTGACCCTGTGACCTTTCAGTTTGCATAATGATGCCCAACTGAGCCAAACCGGCCAGTGTTCCTTTTTAATTTTTTACATCATCTCTTTAGAGTCCAGGCTCTTAAGGTATCTCTAACTCTTATTATTTTGGATTTTGAGTTTTTCTTTATCGTGTTGATTTAAAATACAGCATATAAAAGAAAATCTTAAATATTTCAGTGATTCTATGATAGCTAGAGCACATCGCGGATCTACTAGTACCAGGCTGATTCACATCTTCCAGAATACAGAGGCCCCTTTCCACAGCTGGGTCTGTTACGGGAGAAGTGGTAGGAAGTGATGTTAGGTTTTCATACTAGTTCTCCTTCGGATAAACTGGAGTTGACAATGATAAGAAATAGATTTCGGACATTCATTTTATTCTTGCTTCTTTTCTTATACTCCCTTCTAAGTTGTATTTTCAGGTACTAGTACTTCCTGATAGCTTATATCACACATTATCTAAAATATGAAAAGCCACTAGAGGGAAAATTTGAGTATCAGTACAACTGCATATACTCATTTGCTATGTCAAAGGGCAGAGGGTGGAAGTACTTCAGCCTGGTGTCTGTATGTGGATGTGTCTGTACATCTCTTCAATGAGATCTCTCTATGTAGATGTGTTTATAAACAACTCCAATGAGATCAAGGGCCTTCCTATCTGTACGAACAGCAGGAACCAAACAAACATTTCTCCTGAACATTTGTGTGAATTGTTTCTGACCTTGGTACAGTTCTTAAGCTTAACATTCATCAACCTTGAAATAATTCAGTCATATCATGATAGTTATTTAGAGAACATTTATACCTCTATTTTTTGAAACGATCTTCCCAATATTTCTAAACGAAAGTGAAAAATCTAACCCTGACAGTTCAAGTCCCATATATTTTACAAAATTCCCCTTCCTTATTATTAATCTGGCACTATTTCTGTATTTATAGAGTGGGTCCAAATTATTATTTTTTAATTCTGATTCCTTATGAATCCTTTAGCAATAATGCTCTGAGTTAGTGTGAAATTATATTTCCCTTTTTACATTTCCATTGTTACACTTATAACAAGTCCCCTAAAGACTTGAGTGGCAAGTCTGAGAGCTGCCATCCTCTTGTCGAGGGGACCGGATGGGGAAGCGCTGTTATAGAAATTCTGTGGCCTCGTTCCATTCTGCTACCTGTGACGTGGGAACAGCAGCCTCCCTATCTGCCCTGCTCGGTTACCATAGTGATTAGCCCAAAGCAGTGCATTGGTTCTGAAGTCTGCATAGACTGAGCATGGAGTCTATCCCTCTGGAGTGCTTGTTTTAAAATTGTTTCCTTCAACTTGAGACTTTGTCAAAATATGAGTATCACAGAAACGATAATATATACTGGTCAAAGTGAGCACAAACGACTCTGTTACTACTCTAGGTGGCAGAGTGACAGCTGGTGACTTTTGTAAGTGAGTGGCATAATAACATTAGCCTGGCTAGATCATCTCCAGTGGTGGGCTTAAATATTCCCAGGCATTGGACAGACAATGAGACTGAGAATACTCTTCTGAGAGTCTTAAAATGGAATTGTTGAAAGGTCAAGCTAGTAATTTTCCTTTTTAATATTCAAAACCAGTAGTGAAAGGGGAGGCACTGATACATCTAGACCAGAGGCTATTAGCAGGAGCCCCTTTGAAATTTTAGGCGATGATATAATTCAGGGGAGTTTTTATATTTCACAAGGCTGCCACATAGGCCTTGGAAAAGAAACCTTTGCTGAATATCTAAATACCCACTCTGCCTCTAACAGCCTGGGAGTGTTAGTGACACTGTCTTTGTGCCTCAGTTCCTTTATCCATAAAGCAAAAGGTTTGGAAGAACAGTCTCTAAGATCTCCGCCAGCTCTGAAACTCTCTGACTCCATGAGGGGAAATTATAAGATAATGAGGCTGTTTCCAATGTGGTGTATGGACAGCATCACTCTGTTTTATGTGGCACGTTATCAACCAGTCCATTTAATGCAAGTAACAGCTACTTTCAGTAGGCTGGTCAAGAAACCCTTCCAAATCTCTCACTGTTTGCTCTAGGGTCCTGTCACTTCACCCCAGAAACACTGTCTTAGGCAATTTGCAAAGAACAGAATTAAAAACATCCTCCCTCTTCATGCTTCATTAAATCGCTTCACAGGCATGGCACCATACAACACTTTCAAGCGTCCATAGCTTCTAGAAAGTGTGGGACGAGTTAAATAAAGTTCAGGATATACAATACAACTATACTCAATTTCCTATGGCACTATTTTACTCTCTCATCTTTCCCACAGCATTTAAATTTTACATTAAACACAGAAAAACTTTATAGGAATAAGTATCTGATCAAGAAAAAAGAGGTGGTAGGTTACCCAAGAAAATTATTTGCAATAAAGACCAAGAAGGACAAAGGAAGCATGTAAAAAAAAGTAACAGACATTCAGAAAGCACATACGGATCAAATGCTGCCAGCAGGAAGTTGAGAAGCAGGCTGATGGACTGCTCCACGTGGATTTGGTGAGTGGTTGGCATCCGTTTGTTGAGCTGGTAAAAAATGGTGGACAGCACAGCCTCCAAGCGGGCCACACTGAGTTCTATGTTTGGGTCCAGGTTGTTCAGAGCATTTTCCCGCAATGCCTCTATGACGTTCCAAATGTCCACCAGGTGCACTGTATACAATTAAAGCAGAGTGAACACATCAGCCCAAAGCGCAAGGAAAGGTAAATGCATTATTTTACATGTATCACTTGTCAAGCACTTCACAGGCTTCGGTATGTGCTTGACGATTGTAGGGGTTGACGTAAGTACATGTACACAGTGCGTAATTTCAAAGACTTGATGTACAATGTATAACAGCAAGCAAATGAACACCACAGTAGATTGTTACTTCTGGTCTTCATCATGACCCATGAAATACAGCTAAATACCCATGTTACATGTGAGGAAACAGGATCATGGAAATTAACTGACAAAACACAAAGGTCCTAGTCTAGTCAGTGGAAAACTGGCATTCAGGTCCAAGCCTATCTAGCTTCTTTAAAAAACTGACCTAAAATTGACATTTAACACCGTGTGACTTGAAGGTGTATACTGCGTTCATTTGATAAGATTATGTATGGCAATCTGATCACCGCCATAGTATTAGCTAACACCGCCATCATGTTCCATAATTACATTTTCTTTTTGTGGTGAGAACATTTAAGAGCTAGTTTCTCAGCAGCTTTGGAGTAGATACAACTTGTGATTACAGTTAACAAGTCTGTGTGGCTTCAAGTATTTTCCTGTTGTACATGCCAACCCCTAAAAAAGGAGAGAGAGAAAAACACAACACTTAAATTCTTAAGTTCTTGTATTTGGAAGGGTCTTAAGACTGCATTTGAGAATTTAAAAATATTTTTATTGATCTATTTTTAATAGTAGAAGGTTTAAAATAAGAAACAAGGCAGGAAGATAGGGGAATGCTACAACGCAGCAGCAGAACTAAGTCACAGATTACTTAACTGTACTGGTTAAGAACAGCTTTTTGGTTACATTATTCAGTAGCTCATTTAACTTAAGTCATGGCTACTTTTACTAGGAGAGTCAAGAAATCCATTTTTATTTCTGTTCGCCCTGAGGTCTTGTTATGACATCCCAGAAACTATCACCACAATTAAGATAAGGAACACATCCATGGCCCCCAGTAGTTTGCTCATGCTCCTTTGTAATCCATCCCACTTCCTGTCCCAGGAAACCACAGATTTGATGTGACAATTTTCTAGACTTTTATATGCTGAAATTGTACAGTGTATTTTTTTTGACCTGGATAACTTTACTTAGTGTAACTGTTTTGAAAGTCATCCATGTTGGTGGCTATATTAATATCATAGTTTGTTCTTTTTTGTTGCTGACTACTATTCTATTATATGGAGACATCACAATTTGGTTGTCAACTCACCTGTTGATGGACGTTTGGGTTGTCTGATTTTTTGTGATAAAGAATAAAGTTATTAAAACAATCATGTACAAACCTTTGTATAAACACATGCTTCCATCTCTGTTGGTAAGTTCTTAGAAAGAAGTGGCTATGTTGTATAGAAGTGTATATTAAACTTTTTGAAAAACTTTCATATGTTTTCCGAAGTAGTTGTACTATTTTACATTCCCATTAACAGTGTATGAGAGTTTCGTTTCTCCACAATTTCAAGTTCAAGCTTCACTTTTCTTTACACTTTTGCATTTGAAAATAAATGCCATCTTTCTCAGTGAAGTACAGGTTTCATATGCTTTTCCACCACCAACTCCCAAGCTTTAGTTTCCTACATCTTTGCTAATTTCTGACACTATGTCAAAAACAAAAACAGCTAACATCTCTTGAACCGCTGGACTTGGAGTCCAAAGCAATGGATTTGGAGTTCAAAGACCTAGGTTCATATCTGGCTCTTCTACTACAGGTGCATACCCTCTTATCCTCGAAGGCTTAGAGCCTCACTGTTCTAATTTATGAAGTGGGTATGGTGTGCCTTAAATGGGAAATGCATGAAGTTGTGAGCAGTAGTGCCTGCTCCACAGACACAACACATTATATGTGAACAAATGAACAACGTGTGCCATGCAAAAACTTTTTTTTTTTAAAAAGAAAGCATATCTCTGGTTTCTGGCAGAGGAATACAAATTGCTTTTCAAATGAATTACTTAAATGTTACATTTGGGTAAATTCAGATTTATGAATTCCAAATTTGCAACCTTCTGTATGTATCACACGATACGTAAATTATTTGTATTTTTAATGGTATTTATTCATTTTTTATTTAATATATTTTATTGATTATGCTAATACAATTGTCCCACTTTCCCCCCTTTATTCCCTTCTGCCCTGCGCACCCCCTCCCGCTCAAATTCCTTCTCTTTAGTTCATGTCCATGGGTCATACACATAAGTTCCTAGACTTCTATATTTCTTATACTATTCTTAACCTCCCCCTGTATGTTTTCTACCTACCACTTATGTTGCTTATTTCCTGTACCTTTTCCCCCATCCCTCTCCCACTCCCGCACTGATAATACTCCATATAATCTCCATTTCTGTGATTCTGTTCCTGTTCTAATTGTTTGCTTAGTTTGTTTTTATTACCTTTTTTTTTAGCTCCAGTTGTTGATAGTTGTTTATTGTAATTTTACTGTTCATATTTTTTATCTTCTTTTTCTTAGATAAGTCCCTTTAACATTTCATATAATAATGGCTTGGTGATGATGAACTCCTTTAACTTGACCTTATCTTGGAAGCACTCTACCTTCCCTTCCATTCTAAATGATAGCTTTGCTGGATAGAATAAGCTTGGATGTAGGTCCTTGCCTTTCATGACTTGGAATACGTCTTTCCAACCCCTTCTTGCCTATAAGGTTTCTTTTGAGAAATCAACTGATAGTCTTATGGGAACTCCTTTGTAGGTAAGTGTCTCCTTTTCTCTTGAAGCTTTTAAGATTCTCTCCTTCGTTTTAATCTTAGGTAATGTAATTATGATGTGCATTGGTGTGTGCTTCCTTGGGTCCAATTTCTTTGGGACTCTCTGAGCTTCCTGGACTTCCTAGAAGTCTTTTTCCTTTGCCAGACTGAGGAAGTTCTCCTTCATTATGTTTTCAAATAAGCTTTCATTTTTTTGGTCTTCCTCTTCTTCTTCTGGCACCCCTATAACTTGAATGTTGGAATGTTTAAAGTTGTTCTTGAGGTTCCTCAGCCTCTCCTCATTTTTTTGAATCCTTATTTCTTTATTCAGTCCTGGTTGCATGTTTCTTTCTTCCTTCTGCTCCAAACCATTGATTTGCATCCTGGTTGCCTTCCCTTCACTGTTGGTTCCCTGTACATTTTCCTTTATTTCACTTTTCATAGCCTTCACTTTTCCTTCTATTTTGCGACCATATTCAACCAGTTCTGTGAGCATCCTGATTACCAGTTTTTTGAACTGTGCATCTGATAGGTTGGCTATCTCTTCATCGTTTAGTTGTATTTTTTCTGGAGCTTTGATCTATTCTTTCATTTGGGCCATTTTTCTTTTTTCTTTTTCAAGTGCTGCTTGCTCTGCTCTGGGCTGGCTTTCAGTCATTTTCCCCACTACCCACAAGCAAATTTTGCTCTTTTGGTGCTGATTCCCAGGTGGGTGGGTTTGTGTAGGTTCTAGGACCCTATGGATCTCTCCAACAAACTCTACTGTGAGGCTGTGAGTTTCTCCTGAAGCCACAACCCTTATAGGTTTTTTTAGTCACAGGTTTTGAGGCTTTATTTTCCCAGGCTTGGACCCTGGGTTGCGTGGTCTGTCTTGCTCCCCAGTTCTTCCTCCCGTTTTATCTGCACACAAATGTGGGACTGCCTGCTCCACAATCTGCTGCCTCACTGGGTCTGCCAGCCACCACCTTGCCCACCCCAGTCCTCCAGCCCCTGCCTTGCTTTGAGTCCTCTCTGTCTGGCTGCCCTTCTCCACCCCTCCTACAGGTTGGGATGTTTCTTCTTTAACTCCTTGGTTGTTGGACTTCCATACGGTTCAATTTTCTGTCAGTTCTGGTCGCTTTTTGTTTTAAATTTGTTGTTGTCCTTCTTTTGGTTGTACAAGGAGGACAGTGTGTCTACCTGTGCCTCCATCTTGGCCAGGAGTCTACTTATCCATTTTTTTAACTTAGCAATCAAGACATTCCTAAAGAAATAGTATCTATAAGTTGAATTTATTTATTTTTGAGGAAAAAAGCTGGGATTCCTACCATGATTCCCCACATGGTTGATCTGTAGATCCTCTGGATCTAGTCCTTGGGATGGATGGGTCTGGGTGCAGGACACAGAAGGAGCAGCTGGAGAGGCCCAGCCTGTTGTCCTGACTGGTGTCTGTGCCCAGGGCTCCATGGGAAGTAGGTTACTCATCTGGTTCTTGGCTATGGATTATATGAAGCGGGCATTGGAGAAGAGGCATGTGACTGTAAACTTGAGCACAGGAGGGAAATGGTTGTAAGCCAGGAAAGGGAAATGACTGCTGGGAGAGAGAGGAAATCTGGATGCCGAGGTGTCTCCTGGTGAGTCTTTGAAGGGCATCATGAGTCTCTCAGGATTCTTGGAGAGAATTCTATAGGTCTGTGGAAGTGGCCAACATGTCCCTAGGTGTGTGTGGGAGGGTCCCTCAGGAATTGCAGTTTCTGCTGGCCAAGCCTACACTTATCTCCTCCCTGCCAAACCCACTTTCTCTGGGGTTCCCTGCCCTGATGCATGGCCTCACCCCCACCCCCATTCTTTCCCTGCCCCAGCAAGAGTCTGGATTTTATCTCCGGATCCTCATATCTCACATGCTGTCAATGACTGAGTCCTATGAACTTCACCTCCAAAATATCACTTCAATTCCTCTATTTGCATGGACCCTATTCCTATCGCCCAATGTTATCAGCATTACCTGCTACTGGTTGACTAAGTCAGTTTTTTCATCCTCAGTCTCTCTCCACTGCAGTTCTTTCTAAATACTGTAGCCAGGGCGATGTTTCCAAACTGCATGTCTGACATGTTACCCGCATACTGCTTAAAGTCCTTTGATAACTCCCCATTTGGTTGAAGTCAACTCTTTAACATGGCTTGCAAAGTTCTTTTGGATCTGGCTCCACTTCTCACCTATGTCTCATCCGTCTTGCCTTAATGTCAATGACTCGTCAAGGACGTC